ATGTATTTTGTCGGGAAGCTAAAGAAATCCCTGGTCAGCGAACATTTTGCTGACATTCATTATCTGACAACACTGCTGACACAAATGTGATCAGGTCTGCATTACATTTCCTTCAAATTTCTGTAGCAAATTAGCTGTTTATAAATTTAATTTCTAGGACACTTTTCTAGGAGAATTTTTGTTTAAGTGAGAGGCTTGCATTCAAACCTGCTGATAAATTAGAGCAACAGAGCTATACTAAACTCTTAACTATGTGACTGATTCACAGGTTACTGCCTCCTGGGGGTTGACTACTATGTTCGTGTAACAACATTTGTAGATCGACAGAGCAGCGACTGCTTTATCTATGTTGGAATTGGAATTTTTTCTTCACTCCTCATCTCCCTCTGCTGGTGGGAAAATTCAATGCAAGCAACAAATCGCATGCAGGTATAATGTTTTTAGTATTAAGTTTCCACTGGTCTGTCCTCACTGTACCATCCTCCAAATAGAGAGAAACTTTTATTTTTTATTTTTTTATTTTTTTTAAATCAGCCACCAAACTGGATTTTACCCCATCCATTCATCCCACTGTAGATGTCAAGTTAATTATTAATTATTATTAATTGTTGGAACGTATGTTGTGATTGTATTACCAACGTGCTTTGCAGGTGTTTTTCCATGTGTTCTGGTAGAGCGTCAGCTGGATATTGAACTGTTTTGGGCCACTTGTGGTATATAAATATATTGACTTGACATCCTCAGTGAGGCTCTTAGCATCTCTTTCTGTCTCCCTGCAGGAAACACTGTCAGAATTGGACGGTTTCAGGGACTTTGTGTTTGTCATCAGCAGTATTCTGAGGATAATAGTGATAGGTAATTATCTGCCATCAATGTCTGCGTCAACATACAACACTCAAAAAAACATGCTGACAAAATAACACAGGCTCTTGAAATGTATTATCAACACCAACATCACTGTGTTTTGCTGAGCTTTCTCGTCATCTCATTCCTGACACTCACACTAGAGGAAAAACAGATTTCTGCGATGTTAGAGGTGCAGATGGATTGCGGATGTTCTCCAGCTGTGATGAAGTCTTCAACCGTGGTTTTCAATTTTGTAAAGCTCTGCTTTCTGTTCTGCACAACACTATCAGCTTTTATTCCAGTCTATATAACAGCATAATTTTCTCATATTTACTTAAATGTCACTGTTGTTGTTTCTTTAATGTTTCAAATCAGCACTCGTTTTCACATCGTGCTGTTTTTGTATTTTATTTATTGTTTCGTAAACAGACTTTTGATTTACTGTGTTTTTTATATTGTGCTTTTAAACGTTATTTCATTGTCTCTTATACATAACTGATGCACTATATTCTGTTGCAGGAGGGGTATACCTGTTCTACTATGTGCTCATTGAGAAATCTATCATCTGGTCAGACTTCTGCCTGCAAAGTGAAGACTGGGAATTACTGCAAATAGGACTGGTGGTGTTTTTCTTACAGGTACTGTATGTAGAAGGACTATATACATAAAAGTCATAGGTCTCTTCCTCTGCTCACATTGGGGGATATTCACTGAAAATTTACAGCAGTCTTTTGGTGCTACATGCTCAAATTGCATTTGTGTTTTTTTTCTAATAAAGGTTTTGCCAAGCAAAATGAAAGAAAAGGGGTAGGGCCTAAATATGCCCATTTGAACTCAAACAATGAACATTATTTAGTGGTTTAAAATAAGTGAGTAAGTTAGAAATTCATACAATGCCTACGAAACAAATTGACAGCCTTTGTGTTATTTATAATATGATTTTAACCTTTTTTTCTCTTAATGGCCTCCCAACTGAATATGTAATATATCCTTACTGCTTTACTTTAAGTGGCTGACAGCAAGTCAAGATTGAAGCAGCCAATTAAATACTTATTAATTAGACGTGTTAGTTTCATTTCCTGTTCTAGACAAAGGTGATTACAACTTTTACCAACTACTGAAAAAATCTCCCAAACTGATATTTAATATTTCCAGCAGGTTGACCTCGATCAGTGATCAGAATCAGATCTTACTTGCATTAATTTACAATTGTAGTCCAAAGTTAATAGGCAGCTAAATTCAAAAATTGAATTTTGTATTTCTGACATTAATTGGTGGTTTAACAAATATTCCCCTTGCCTCTTGTCATGTCTTAGGCTTTCTGCTCAGCAGCCTGCCACTGGTTTGGTGTGGTGGCCTGTAAGATTCATGCAGTCAGGATGAGTTTTGCTCTGCCACTGTGCTGCACAGGACCTGCAGTGCTACTGCTGGGACTTATACTTTTCCTTACCCAGGTAGAAAAATTGGTCGGTGCACAGACTGGGAGCATCACAGGTGAATTTATTCTTTTAACATATTGCTTTGCTTAAATGTACTTTTGTTTGTTGTTTGTATGTACTTTGTCATACATCATAAAGATTTAATATGTTTGTGCCTGCTCAGTAATGTGGTGAATTGTGAGAAGTCTCTGGCTACAATTACTCATGTCTCTACACTTTAGAGGGCAAATTTATACTGGGAGGCTCTGTGTGATGAGTGAGATACACTTATTACTTAGCACTTATTCCAATATCCTAAAACATTTAGCTATGTTTCCATTGCAGAGTTTTGTGAAAGCCTGGCTTACTTGAGCACTAAGAACACAACCCCTGTGGTTTTACTGGAACTCACAAGGAGCATTTGTCGAACTTCACTCAACAGGTGCATGCTTGTGTGTTTTAATCACGTTTAATGATTGATTGATTGATTGATTGATTGACTGATTGATTGAGTGTGTGTGTGTGTGTGTGTGTGTGTGTGTGTGTGTGTGTGTGTGTGTGAGCAGTTGTGTTCCCTACAATTCATGCAGCCTTAATGGTATATAAACGTGCTTATTGTGTGTAAAATGTCCTAAAATTACTTATCATGTGACGTATTATTATATTAAATTATCTGTACAAGCATCTCTTGTATATACACATTCAATCTATGTACAGTATATTTTGCAAAAAATGTTTATGAACTTATTGTTTGACAGCTACTATATGCAATGGCCTTTTGCAATGCTGGCACTGGAAGGTGTATGTATGTGGTCAGGTTTCGTCACATGCACCTACTATGTATGGAAGATCAAGGTATCGCTGTAACCACACACACACACACACACACACACACACACACACACACACACACACACACACACACAAGCATCTCTATGCCCTTGAGTTACGATAAGCTTCTTAAAGGGTCAGTCCCCCCAAATTATGAAAAAAGATATCCATCTCTGAGATTTCTGTCGCTGCCCCAATACAGTGGAGGTGAAAGTAATTTCCTTGGTGTTGCTTACTGCATTGAAAAGTTACATTCTGAAAAGTCAACAGCAACATCTCTCTCCAGAAGCAATGTCCCCGTTAATGTTGATGATTTAAAGAACAGTTTAAAAATAAGAGTCTTGATCAAAACTGTTTATGGCGTGGTCTGTGTCTGGAAAAATATGTTGCTGTAGAATTTTTTAAATATAATTTTTGGAGTCTATGAGCACCAGAAACAAAACCCCAATCATACAAATTAGGAAAGCAGCAGAAATTATGGACATCCTGGCCAAATAAATCAAAACTATCTGTGTTAGGTATCAGTAAATCTGTATTTGTTTTCTTTGTACTTTGGATAAACTGAGCCCTTAAAAAAGACTGGTTGTGAGTTAGTTTCAAGCATCCATTTAATTTAAAACTACAGCCTACTACCAGAGAGTCAAACTTTAAATCAAAGAAACAAAGGAAAACATTACATGGCACATTTTACTAATAATGTCATTACCTCAGGCAGAAAGACACACACCTTAATACCTCTCTGGTTCATCATGTCTCAGGTCCAGCGTATAGAGAGAACATCTCAGCTCTTTGTTCGTCGACTGTATGAATCTGCTTTCATTGACCTGTCACTGCTACTCAACACCAAGATGAAGGTGGCACGAGCCAGAAACCAAGAAAGGTGAGAGGGGTCTGAGGAGGGAGTAAACCTCAATTTGTATTTTATTTCATTGTGGTTGTATTTTTAGCAGGTACAGTACAGGCCAAAAGTTTGGACACACCTTCTCATTCAATGCGTTTTCTTTATTTTCATGACTATTTACATTGTAGATTCTCACTGAAGGCATCAAAACTATGAATGAACACATGTGGAGTTATGTACTTAACAAAAAAAGGTGAAATAACTGAAAACATGTTTTATATTCTAGTTTCTTCAAAATAGCCACCCTTTGCTCTGATTACTGCTTTGCACACTCTTGGCATTCTCTCAATGAGCTTCAAGAGGTAGTCACCTGAAATGGTTTCCACTTCACAGGTGTGCCTTATCAGGGTTAATTAGTGGAATTTCTTGCTTTATCAATGGGGTTGGGACCATCAGTTGTGTTGTGCAGAAGTCAGGTTAATACACAGCCGACAGCCCTATTGGACAACTGTTAAAATTCATATTATGGCAAGAACCAATCAGCTAACTAAAGAAAAACGAGTGGCCATCATTACTTTAAGAAATGAAGGTCAGTCAGTCCGGAAAATTGCAAAAACTTTAAATGTGTCCCCAAGTGGAGTCGCAAAAACCATCAAGCGCTACAACGAAACTGGCACACATGAGGACCGACCCAGGAAAGGAAGACCAAGAGTCACCTCTGCTTCTGAGGATAAGTTCATCCGAGTCACCAGCCTCAGAAATGGCAAGTTAACAGCAGCTCAGATCAGAGACCAGATGAATGCCACACAGAGTTCTAGCAGCAGACCCATCTCTAGAACAACTGTTAAGAGGAGACTGCGCCAATCAGGCCTTCATGGTCAAATAGCTGCTAGGAAACCACTGCTAAGGAGAGGCAACAAGCAGAAGAGATTTGTTTGGGCCAAGAAACACAAGGAATGGACATTAGACCAGTGGAAATCTGTGCTTTGGTCTGATGAGTCCAAATTTGAGATCTTTGGTTCCAACCGCCGTGTCTTTGTGAGACGCAGAAAAGGTGAACAGATGGATTCCACATGCCTGGTTCCCACTGTGAAGCATGGAGGAGGAGGTGTGATGGTGTGGGGGTGTTTTGCTGGTGACACTGTTGGGGATTTATTCAAAATTGAAGGCACACTGAACCAGCATGGCTACCACAGCATCCTGCAGCAACATGCCATCCCATCCGGTTTGCGTTTAGTTGGACGATCATTTATTTTTCAACAGGACAATGACCCCAAACACACCTCCAGGCTGTGTAAGGGCTATTTGACCAAGAAGGAGAGTGATGGAGTGCTGCGGCAGATGACCTGGCCTCCACAGTCACCGGACCTGAACCCAATCAAGATGGTTTGGGGTGAGCTGGACCGCAGAGTGAAGGCAAAGGGGCCAACAAGTGCTAAACACCTCTGGGAACTCCTTCAAGACTGTTGGAAAACCATTTCAGGTGACTACCTCTTGAAGCTCATGGAGAGAATGCCAAGAGTGTGCAAAGCAGTAATCAGAGCAAAGGGTGGCTATTTTGAAGAAACTCTAGTTTCTTCAAAATAGCCACCCTTTGCTCTATAAAACATGTTTTCAGTTATTTCACCTTTTTTGTTAAGTACATAACTCCACGTGTTCATTCATAGTTTTGATGCCTTCAGTGAGAATCTACAATGTAAATAGTCATGAAAATAAAGAAAATGCATTGAATGAGAAGGTGTGTCCAAACTTTTGGCCTGTACTGTATATGTCATAGACATCTCTTGTATGGGAGATGCAAGACATAATTCATCTGAAATATGTCATCATAAGAAGATATCTCTGATATCTCTGTCTGATGATGCACAAAAACTGTAGTGATGAAAAGAAAACTGTGATTATGATTGACAATCAGCAAAAAAAGGAAACACTTTTTTTGAATTACAAGGTGGTTATTGTATGAAATCATAGGCACCACAGGGTTGTAACAGCCCACAGCTGCTATAACATATCAAAGCTTGTTTTCTAGACTGTTGAGAGATGTGCATGGTCACAACATGACATGTTTAAAACTTCTGCTAAAAACCTCTCCCTTCCTTTCTCCCCTACCCTACAGCAATGATGACATACAGAGCTGTGTGATCTATCTTTGTGCCACCATGTGGCATGAAACCTACGATGAAATGCTGAAAATTCTCACCTCCATGTTCAGGTTGGAGACACTGTCACTGCAGACACCTAAATGCGCCAGTATCAATAACACAACATGGGTTTAATCCCATTTTCACATCCCTTTAAATAACAGCTGAGCAGCAGCTGAAAATCATGTGATGTAGTATGCTGGGGTGTGTCAGTGCACCATGACATCACTGTTCGGTACAGGTCCAGAGCTCACTTCTGATCAGAGGTGCAAGAGATGTGAAATGTTTTAACCAGACAGGCAGTACAACACATCTATCCAGGCTGTTGCTCTATAAAATGTTAATCATGAATTAAATGTATCCACTTCATTTGCATATGATATAAGATATCCAAGGGCTAAAAATGTTAAACCTTTGTGCTGTCGAGCATTTGAAATTCTCCTACTTATTTAATGCTTTGATGGTTTATATTGAAAGAAGAAAATACAGAAGTGCATAGGCTTTTGCTCTATTGTTACACTTGTTTGTGGGTGTTTCAGGTTGGACCGCTACCGAGGTGATCCAAAAGAGGACCATAAGGACTGTTTTGACTTTGAGTGTCACATTTATGTGGACGATGCCTTCATGACTGAAAAGGAGACAGGAAAGAGGCTGGTTAACTCTTACGTTGAAGACTTGGTCCATGTTGTCATAGAGGTTTACAGGTGAGATTATTCATCAACCGACTATCCATCTATACCTTTATCCATCCATCTATCTTTTAAACAAACATCTATCCATTCATCATGCAGGGTGTTTACCAACAAAGAACCAGATGACGTGTCGATCATTCAAACTCCCTACGGCGGCAGGCTGATGTTTGTTATGCCAGAAGGCAACATGCTCTATGTTCACCTAAAAGACAAAAGTCTCATCAGGAACAAGAAGAGATGGTCCCAGGTATAATGTAGCAGTGGTGTTTTTGTCCTACAGGTGCCGTGGCCAACAACAAAAGACTTGCACCAAGTAGATCCAAGTTAAAACTCAGCCCAGTCGCCAGAGGAAAATGTTGAAATTGTTCCGTAACGTTTCTACAAAATACAAATACATTACATTTGCACGTTTCATGTGTATCATGTGAGTGATTCTAAAGTGACATAATTTATGGCTGACTTTGTCATTGGGATGTGGAGGGGACAGTGGATGGCATGTTACTTAGGTGCCAAACTGTAGACAACTGCAAACCAATGTGTGACCAACAAACAAGAAAAACGGTTGTGTTTTTGCAATGTCAGTGTGTTTCCATCAGGTTTTCAAGCTCCAAACATGGGTACTTTGTAGCATCCCCTTGGCAGGAATAGTAGCACAAAAAGTGGTTGTTTTTTACCAAGACATGGCTGCTTCTCTTACCCAGATAGTGTCACAAAAACCCAGGTATTTTAAACCAAAACATGATCTTTTCCTAACCATTATCAAGTTTTGCTAACCACATATTAACCCCTGCATGTTAAAACGTAAAGTTTCAACCTATCAGCCACGTAACATGCAAATGTAATGTATCCATAGTTTGCATAAACGTACAACCCCAATTCCAAAAAAGTTGGGACCCTGTTTAAAACGTTAATAAAAACAGAATGCAATTACTTGTAAATCCTTCTGGACATATATTCAACTGAATACAGGCCAAAGGCAAGACATTTAATGTTTAAAATGACAAACGTTATTTTCTGTTTTATGAATATGCACTCATTCTGAATTAAATGCCTGCGACACATCCCAAAAGAGTTGGGACAGGGTCATGTTTAGCACAGTGCTACATCACCTTTTATTTTAGCAGGCCACCACTGTTAAAGTTTCTGTGGGACAAATACACTATTTAAATTGCACAAATGTCTCTGATAGCTGGTCATGGATTTTCACACTATACGTTACTGTATATGACTTTCAGATTATGTATTTGTACTATCTACTCGGCTGGAAGGGCTACATCGTCAAGAACCCTCAGAAGATCCCAGTAAGACTTTTCTGCCTTTTGTGTAAAATGTGTACATATTAGTATTTTGACACTATGTGTATAAAATTTTACAATACTTTTACAATATTGTGTCCTGTTTTGTCCAGCACCACCATAATCCACGCAAAGACAGTATGATCTCTATGTACGGAGAGATTTTCCTGGTGCCTCAGCATGAAAATGACCACAAGAGAAGATTCATCTCAGATGACAACACTTACATCCTGGCTCTCGACGGAGACACAGACTTCCAACCTAAAGCAGTGATTCTGCTTGTAGACAGGTCAGTGATCAACAAAGCATCAACCGTTTCTCAGCTGTTACTGAATAAAAACATATTTTTACCAGCCGCAAAAGAGGGGCTGGTACTGTTTGCACCTTGTGAGTCTATATATGTGTCATCATTGCAAAATGTGGTCCTATTGTACATATTGTACATATTGTACAGGGAACCACCACAGAAGCATTTTTGATACTTTGCAAGGGGTCTGTCTGTCTGTAGACACTCAAGGGTGACATTTGCGGATGAAATGGTGTATTAAGTTACTGCTGATGCAAACCAAACATTTCCTACTGCTGCAGCTCCACTATAAAACATTTAACTGGCCAAACACAAATGAACTTTTCTGATGAAGAAGTCATAGGAACTGCAATGTGTTTTTCAGTAAGCCTAGCACTTACCATAGTCATTCATCAAAAATGTGTCTACAAAACAATACAGCAGTCATTTTCAGCATTTGTTGACAGCGGATCAGTCTAAAATATTACAGGGGAGATATGTAACAAGGAAAAGCAGCCTTGGTGAGCTATTAGAGCTGCAGGTGTCAGGCTGCACACCTCCAAATTAGCAAGATAACCAACTCCTTCCAGATCGCAGTGTCTCACAGAATGATGGAAAAATGCCAATTATTGCTCACCTCCTTTATGAAAATAACAAAAGTTTATTTTGCTGGCCCCGGAACTCTGTGACCTGTCATATATCTGCTATATATGCTGTTACCACCAATAAGTACAGGTGTCGCCAAATCAACTGAGAGTGATATCTTCAAGATTGCCATTTCAAAAAACATATTTTCACTGGCAGGTTGAGGATGTATGACAACGTTGGTGCAGCCTGTGGTAGAATCCATCCTACTGGTATGGGTAAGTAGACATTATTTTGGCCTCTATAGCACAAGGTATTAGTGTTGTCACGATACCAAAATCTTTGTTTCGGTACCAATACCAATATGAATTTCGATACTTTTTGATACTCTTCTGTACTTTTCCTAAGGATAAGTCCTTTTGGATACAAACCTTTAGAACAATAAATAGTAGGGGTGTAACAGTACCAAAAAAAATTATGGTTTGGTAAGTACCTCGGTATGGACGTCACGGTTTGGTAACTCAAATGTTCCACCAAGTTTGTGTTGTCTCGTGTTGTCTCCCTTTGCGAGGCAGACTTTCTCTTGTCTTTTTTTCACATGCTCCAGCTGCGAATGTTGATACAGGTGTTGTCATATACACCACTTGCGCACTCTGTGCTCCAATAGGAACAAGAAAGGCGTTTGTGTGCATAATTGAGTAAAATAAATTAACTAAATTAATGAATTGAATCAGTTTCAAAGTACCGGTATTTTTCCGAATGCAGTATAGTACCGTTTGGAATACTCTAGTATTTTAGTACCGGTATACCGTGCAACACTACAAGGTATAATAGTTTGATCAAACAAGGTTCAAATTTGTCAAAAGGTAGAAGTGGGGCTGGTGTGTGTGTGTGTGTGTGTGTGTGTGTGTGTGTGATGGACTGGTTCTGTCCAGCATATGCCCAACATATGCTGGGATAGATTCCAGTCTCCATAACCCTCACCATGACTGAGTGAAATGAGCATTTGTGACATTTCCCTGCTAAGGATTTTCTCTCATGTCTCTCTGCCTATGTACTCTTTTTTTTTCATTGTTCTCTCTCACTTTGTCACTGTAAATCTCTGCGGTCATCACCCTGGCTGCCTGCCATCCTAGGTCCCATGGTGTGGTATCAGAAGTTTGAGTATGCAGTAGGTCACTGGCTACAGAAGACAGCAGAGCATGTGTTTGGCTCGGTGCTGTGCAGTCCAGGATGTTTCAGTCTGTTTAGAGGATCAGCCTTAATGGATGACAATGTACTGAAGAGATACACAACAACTGCAACCAGAGCTTCAGAATACGTCCAGTATGACCAAGGTTGGTTGGGAAATGCACCCACCACTTTTGCATAACCATTTTGCCTAGTTTTGTCTTTTTGCCTTTCCTCTTTGACTGTTTGCGTTCATTTCTCGCATTTCTTTTCTGTCTTGTGTGTGCATCTATGTTTCTAGGGGAGGATCGCTGGCTGTGTACTTTGTTACTGCAACAAGGATGGCGTGTCGAATACAATGCTGCATCAGATGCTTACACCAACTCACCACAAGAGTTTCAAGAGTTTTATAACCAGAGGAGACGATGGGGACCATCTACACTGGCTAATACACTGGACCTTCTGCACAGGTTAGTGTTATTTATTATTATTAATAGTAGGGTTTACATCCCAAGCCAGGTACTCTCTCACTTTACTGACTAAAAACACTTGAGTAATATCTACAGCTATTCATCCTAAATCTGTTTAAGATGACACGAGGATATGTACATTGCACTGATATTAACTTTTCTGTGGTTGTGACTAAAATTACAGTGGTGCAGAAACAGTGAAGAGAAACTCGTCCATCTCCAGGCTCTACATCTTCTACCAGATGTTCACTGTTGGCTCCTCTATCCTCGGTCCAGCCTCTGTGACTCTTATGATAGCAGGTAGGTTCAAGCCTAGTTTACTACGCTACCAGCTCCTCCTTGCTGGGTGTTGTTTAATGACTGCAGCAGGGTAAATGTTTTCTTCTTTACCTGTTTTCCCTGCTTCTCTCACCTCCGTCTGTTTTCCCTAATCATGTTTTTTTTAGTATTGAGTCAGTGAGGGCTGAATGCATCAATAAAGTCAGACTCTTTCTGCATTTACATGAACTCGAAAGGCAAAAATGATTGTATTTTTGTGTTTTGTTTTCATGTGTAGCTGCTTACTAAGTTATGCTAGCTTACAAGTGAATTCTGCATTATTTCATGTCATACTGTGATTGATTGATTTGTAAATATGGATATTGGGAGCAGTCACATCGTAAGACTAGCATCATAAGTTTATGATTTAATTTCCTCTGAAATGAATGAATCTTGGAGGACTGTGTCCAAGGCAGGTTAGGCAATATTATAGCATTACAGTATACCAGAGTATTTAGAAATTCCCACAGTATGATTTTCAATACCGTCAAAAAGACAGACACTCATCTTTCTATTAAATTCATATTGAGAGGCTGTATTGAGGATTTATTGTAGCACCCAGCTCGCCCAGTCTCTACTGGTGGAACAGGCAGCTAAGCTGAGAAATGACTGCCAGTGGTGAAGACAACATACAGAATCTATAAACAGTCGGCCAGCAACAGTGGATGAACTCATTAGATGACTAACAAAACTAATCAAAACAGTTTGGGTGAGTTTTATCTTGTTTCTGTCAAATTTGAATTAAGTGTGTTTTAAGATGAGTGAACTTGGCAGACAGAGAAACTGTAAAGCCTAATTTATGGTACAGTGCTTGACACTTATGAGTATTATTCAACAGGATTGACATATTTTTGACATAAAAGTATCGCTCAACATTTTTCTTTCATGTCACGCACCTGGAGAATTTTGTCACATTGCAGACAGCGTCATATTTGGTCATGAGATGTGATTGAATAGTGTTACGAACATCACCATGGAAATAGCAGTTTTCGATCCACATGGACTCGACCTGCAGTCAGTGTTTCTGTCCACAGAAGCAACCATCTGTCTGCAGCTGAGAGGACAGCGGCTAGCAAAACTGCCTTCAGCAGGCTGTATGACAGCAGACATTTACTGAACCAAAATAGTTTTCATGTCAGCGAGACAGGAGGTAATCAATAGTGTTTATATTTATGGATAAATTGATTTTATTTCCCTACCCACCACAGTGAGGGAATCTGCTGCATACTACTATCGTCATATACTATATAAGGTATGAAACAAATATATATGCCCAAGCATAATCCATAATTCATTAAAATTCCATGGATTTGGCCTGAATCAAAATAGACTTTTTATTAAACTACAATAGTGATTACTAGGATATCCCACTTGCCCCGCATATTTTGTACTAATAATCTTTCTGTATTAATAATTTTATCAAAGTCCATCTAACTGCATCTGTTCCCTCTCTGTCTTTTCCTGACAGGTGCTTTCCAGTTTGTCTTCAAAATCAGTGGTACACTTTCCATCATCATCGCAAGCATTCCTCCTGTGTTCTACATCATCGTCTGTTTTATAGCCAAGCCTAATACCCAAATAACCATTGCTGGCATTATGAGTGTCCTGTACGCATTCCTCATGACTGCATCCTTCTTTTCTATCATCGGTGGGTAAAAACTCTTTGTGACTTCATATGTTTGTGTCTGACTTTTTTCCATATTGTGATTTATATTATAAACCCCTAAATGCACATACACACGCTAGGATGGGGGATATTGAAATTCCCATACTGACAATATTGCTTTAGGAAAAATTATACATGAAATTAAAAAAGCTAAAGAGACCTATGGAGTAGAGATGCAAATGTTGAACTGGCAATAAGTGGCCTCAATGTAGGTAAGCGCAATTTTACACAACAGCATGCTGAGATAAATAAATCAGGTCAATCAACTGTTGAGGTTATCTTTATGCAATGACCGTCACGTTTGTATTTTGTTGCTTTTGCAAAAGCCACGGTGATTGAGGGCTGATTGCTCACCATGGTGGGAGTTTTGGTCCGGCTGCTCTTTGTGGATAAAGTCAGTGGCCGATTTCTCCTTTTTTGTTTGATTTAAGCTTTTTTTTTTTTTTTTTTTGTCAATTAACAAGAGCAGACATCTTTCCTGCTGGGGTTAGGGCTACACGGGTAATTACAGTATCAGACATATGCTAGCATGCTACAACAATGCAGTGAAGGATAGAGAAAGCAAGAAAAAGAGACTGAATATAGCACAAAATTCATCACAGGTGTTGCATAACTGAACATCTTTCATATCATATCACCCAAGCCTGACATACATCATGTTCCCCTTTTAGGTGACATGGTGATTCAGGGCACCTTCCTGACCCCCACTGGCTTGTTTTTGGTTTCTATGACAATCATGTACGCAGTGACTGCTATACTACACCCGGAGGAGTGCGGTATGGTTATATTATATGATCATAAACATTGTTTTTACATTTATGTCATGTCATGTCATGTTATGTTATGTTATGTTATGTTATTATCTTTATGTTCCATTATGTTGTGTTATTTCTCCTCCAGGGATGGTTGTCTATGGTCTGATGTATTTCATCTGTATCCCCAGTGGATACCTCCTACTGACCATCTACTCACTGGTTAACATGCACATTGTGTCCTGGGGCACAAGGGAATCCAAGTAATGCACTGATCATTATTAGCCGGAGTAGTCTTACCTCCACCTGCAAACAACCATTTTCATTATTTATTAATCTTTTAATTAATCATTAATTTAAAGTGATATCATTTTAACTTTAATAATTGCATGACAAAACTTTCAGATCTAATCCCCCAATAATCTAAAGCCAATCTATTGGTTGATTACCTGTCTTCTCATTTCAGCACTAATGGTGTTAGTTGTAGCAGTAAAGTTAACTGTTAAGGGGAAAGTTAAAAGTAGTTTTAGGAGAAGCAAAATCAGTAAAAAAAAAACAGTAGTGAATTAAGTCGTATTTTCTACCAGTAGCATGAGCAGCAATAATGGTGACTGGCAATAATCACTTAATTCATAATGCACACAAACTTCAAGAGGAAGCATTCTCTCAATACTTAAGATCTCCCTAAGTATCGACATCGTAATGCTAAATATATGATACAGAAAATAATTTAATCAATCCACTTCTATTTGTATGGCATATACAGTATAAGCTAATAATGAATTACACAGGAACAGATGAAATTTAAAAGGCAGGAAATAAAATATCTACAGTCACATAACTGTAACATATAGTAAACCAAATCCAAAATAAGGGTAATACCCTTATTGGGTGATATTGGGTGATATCTAATATTATAGCTTGATATTTTCCTCAAGCTCTCTTAGCTTTTTCAAACAGATAAATACACAATAGAAACTCACAAGGTGTTAAGAAAAATATTTTTCTCACATCTATTTTCCTTATTATAATACAACTGTTTTGTATTCTCATCTCTCTAAGCCACAGAACTGAGACTGGTTTAATTGCCTCGTTAAGACTTCATTCAAACTGAATAAAAACAAAGAAAATCTCACTCAAACCATCTTGGTTACTCTTGTTACTCATCCAGTTAATTGCTCCACTGTTTCAACAATCACCAGCTCCGGTTTGGTCAAGATAAACCCTTAATTCACTGAGTTAGATGTAGAAAAAAAATACTGTCTTTTCCCACGGTTTCTTTCGGTCGTTGCTGGCTGGCTGTTTCAAGTCCTGTGCGCACACATGTGCTGCTCATGTAGCCAGTGTGGCCAGGGCGTTATCCCTTCACCATAGGATGTCACCGAGTCTTTAAAGCCTTTGGAAACACAGCTTGAAATAGTAAAAATGCATATATTATATCAAAGTCGAGTGTCTCATTAATCATCCACAAAAGTCTGAGTGAAAATAACCATTAATAACTATTAGAAAACCTGGTTTAAAAACAGCTCATTTTGCTGTTTAGACCACTTGCCAGGACAGAGTGGGCGTGGCAGATAACGCTCTGATTGACAGCTCCCTCGTTTTGATTGACATCTCCCTGGCTCAGCAATGGCTGCCACAAATTTAATCCAGCCGTACATGTTTGAGCCCTCTGATGATTCAGAGGACGAAGCAGAAGCTGAAAATGATTCCTTTCAGGTGGTCACTGAATGGTAAGTTTCAAAATGTTTTGTGATTCATATTAATGTTACTTTGTAGAATACTTAGCATAACTTTTACATGCAATGTTACGGCCAGGCTCCACCGGCTGCAAACGTACAGCGTAGCGTCGCGGCATATTCATTTGGGCTCCACTGACTGCGTACGGAAGCAGTGGGGTTGTTTACCGTTTGCTGAGCCGAGAGGCTGCATGTAGGCTGCATGAAATGTTAAAGCATTTTCCACCTAAATTATTACATATATTTGAGTTATGGATAAACAATAGAAGAGCCGCTTAAATAGAGTTGTCGCGCCGCTCTCGTTGCCGGTGGAGCCGCTGTAATTGATAAACGGGGGCGAGCTGCTACGGGACTCGCGCTGCAGACGTGCCCGGTTGAGCCCGGCTGTTAGCTGAGATGAATGACAACGGGAGGCTAGCGCTTTGCCTTTCTTCATTGAGATACGTTTTCATTGAAAACATAAATCTGCTCCGTTTTTCTGATAATAGCCTTTTTCATTCAAACACATCCAGTCTTAATAGATTAAATATGTCTTTACTCTGACACACACACCGACCGTCAAAGCGGGAAAGACCGGTGCCGGCCGGCCGTCTCTCTGGCCTTTTATTGAAGTATTGGCCCGCCTCAAATAACGTTCCCCTCCGGCTAAAATTGTGTTGTTTCCCGCAGCATCACCTCCGCGATTGGGGATATGTTTATGCGTAGCAAAGCTAACTGCTTGGGGTTGGGGTTAGGGGTGAGGAAGGGTGCACATTACGTCCCCTCCCCTTGAGTCGACACGGGCACCGGGCCCGGGGGGCAAGCCCGGCCACTCACAAGCCGCCTCTTCCTGCAGCTCCACGAGCTGCAAAGGCTCGGACTGTCCGGGCTCTGGAGCCGGTCAACCTGATTCGAGTGCTGCTGGGAGCCCGCCGGAGGCAGAGCCTCCGCTGGGTCGCAGCCGAGCGGTTCAGCCAGTTTACGATCTGTATTTTCTAAACATCAGACTAGAAAGAGGAGTTGGCTCAGACTCAAAGAGGCAGATTTAGCTGGAGCAGAAAGGTTTTGTTGCGCTGCCACTTGGGGGCGGGATGAGACAACTGACTGATGATTTATGATTGTTTGGAATTTATTGCGTAATAAATCTCAGAGATAACCACTGCCCAATCAAACCCAATTTCAAGAATGTACAAAAACTTAAAAGACAGATATTTCGAATTTGGATGGAAACAGATTTCTAATTGTTTTACATGTTTAATATTATGTACATAAGACCCTAAATTACATAGTTAGAAGGCTATTGTGGATTTGGGTTTCCAGAGGCTTTAAGCTCAACTACCTGTTCCATCAGTAGAGACCGGAGACTGCCCTCTGGTGGCGAATGCTGTACAGTACACGAGTTTAATAGAAAGAGGAGCGTCTGTATTTCTGTATTGTCATATAACAGTATTGAAAATCATACTGACTTGATTTTTAAGTACCCTGGTATACCGTAATACCATGATACCATCCCAGCCTATGTGACACTGTGCAGATATGTAGAATATAAGTTGATGAAATCCATCAAGTCATCCATCCACTCTCCACTGCTTATTCAGTTTGGGTGGTGGTGGAAGCAGACTATTGTTAAGCAATGATTCACTTGAAGAACAGACAAGTGGAAGCCGCAGGGAATTCATTTGCTTGTATTTATGCCGATGTGCATTCCCAATAATCACTCACTGTATCTGTCTGTACTTTAATGAGTGTATGCTTTTTCTTACTATCCATCCTTCTGTCTGCTTGTCAGGGGACAAGAAGAAGTGAAGAAGAACCATAATCTTTTGTGTGACAAAACCTGTAGACTCTGCTGCTGGGACATGAAGTGTCAGGTACTGTTAGCAAACGGCTAATGACAAGCCTTCCAGTGGCTAAATAGATGGACGGATTCATTCATTTTATCCTGTCATTTTTTTCAGGTAACACAAGAAACAGAGAATCTGATGATTCGACAGATCACAGGCCAGAATGCACAGCAAGCCCCTCCTCTTCAAATCACCCAACCAGACTCGGTAACTCAACAGACAGCTGTAAATGTGGAGCCTCAAGTCATTGTTGACATAACCAAAACAGTTACAGAAGCTACGAATCCTCCAAGTAACAACCTGAAAGAGAAGTTGGCAAAAGGCAATGATGCTGGCTCCTATAGCAGGTATTTATTTTCAATTCCTTTCTTCTCTTTTGTTTATCAGTAATGTATCTGGTCACTGAATATTTCAATCAATCCATTAAAAACATATACAGCCATTAAGTTGATCACCTGTTAAGTCCACTGGCCAAACTGACACACCTGAGATTATGAACACAACCATGCCCAAAAACTCACTGTTGATTCAGATTTAGATTATCCTCCATCTTTGTAGAAGGACAAATGCACCTATACGCTTGAATTGTGAAATTCATACTACCAAACATTCACAAAAATGTTCATGTGCAGTGATGACAGTACCAAGAAAAAGAGCATATCACCGAGTTTATCTGACGAAGATGATATTGAGGAGGATGATGACAGCATGATTGCTGACCAAGAAGAGGACTTTCCTGTCAGCGGTGAGTACTTCAACTGTGTATTTGTCCTGTATATTACATACTGCAATTCATACAAGTCTTAGTGTTATGTATAGCATACTATAATGATGTTATTGGTGTGTGTGTGTGTGTGTGTGTGTGTGTGTGT